CTGAGAACAAGAGCCTTTATGAAAAAAGGTGATTCTGCCAATATCTTGAGCAAAAGAGTTGCTACAACCGTGCATCATGAGCTTAAGTATTACCCACCTGAGGATATGCAACTGAAAAAAAAAAACATATAGAGAAACAAGGTACATGAATTAACAAAAGACCACATTATAGAAGAACATCGCATAAGGTTACTATTATGTAAGACACATACCTCCGACATCACCATAGCCAGGCTGCAAGAGAAGAAAGTCAGAACGTTAAGACAGCATACAAGGATACAAAGCATACTTATTTACTTAGTAAAGTTGGTCATACTTGCGATGAGCGGCCTTTTTGCTCTGCTGGCAGGTTTGGATTTGTATAATCCCTATTCACAGGCAATATAAATCAGTTATATGGACAGAAAGATAACATAAAATTGTATAAACGCAAAAAATATGGATGCCATGGACACATGATCCATACCTAGATCGATCGTTGTTGTAATTTACTTGCAGCTCCTCAAGGCTGAAAATGATAGACAAGGTCAAATACTCACAACACGAGCAAAAAGAAGTAAAACTAACAAAGTAACATTAGATGCCTTCAACAACATATGTAAGTATGTAAGTAAACAGAGCATACTTTGAGAACTGGATATCCAACTGACAACACCCGTCATATATGTTACGACCCTGCCACGAAGAAGGTGACATATATTCTCAGTAATAGAAAAGTAAGGCAGACGTAGAATTTTTTTTCCCCGTAAAAGTTTTTTAAAAGTCGTATAGAAAAGTACCTGTAGAGCAGTTCTAGCAGAGGCAGCACACTGTTGTACCTGATACTGTATAAGAGCTTGAAAACCTGAACAGCACACAAACAAGCTTACAGTTAAAGATCATCAAACTTATCTAATAGTTGAAAAATAAAGTTTTCACATGAGCAGTCAAACATGTAGAAGTGATTCTCTAGAGATGATCAATCCAATATAAGAGCTAAAAAGAATAGAAGAGGGAGAAAAAACTTGGAGTAGCTGACCAGCAGACTTTTGGAAAGTGACGAGCTTCTCCACAAATCCATAGGGAGAGAAAACTTGATGCAGCACATCAACTGTAATTGGATACAGCATGTGATGGATTGTGACTAAGAGAATACGATTCGGCTGTATATCCACCATCGCAGCAACCACCAAACAGAAAAAAGAAGGAAAAAGACGAGAGAACGAAAAGAAGAGTGAATAAAGGGCACAAAAAGAAGTGATAGCAATGAACCACAAGAAAATGTAAGAGCTGCATTTGACATAAATGAAATGACAAGATGATTTGCGAAAAAAAATTATGATTCTGGCATATTGTAACATGAAACAGGTATAATTACAAACCTCGTCTTCCCGTCCATGAATATTCTGCTCTATTGTTGTCAATTCTTGGTGAGAAGAGAATTGAACATACACATTCCTCCCTCTAGAATAGAAAATGTTGAAATAAATCAGAACGAAGGGCTTATAAAACAAATAGAAGGCAGAAGAATAAGGGGCACAAACCTTATGGTAGGTTGCACATTTGTAAAAAACTGAAGAGCAGTGATTGCTGAAGAAACATCTTGCATCTGGAGAAGAGCCTTCACACAAGCAAGAAAAGAAAAGAAAAGAAATCTCATGTGAATCACAAATTCCCCCAAAAAAGAAGAAAGCAAACGAAGGTGGAGTTTTAGAGACCTGATTCTTTGCCCTGAGCATGACAAGCTTAGTTATGACCCCAAATGGTTGGAAAAGCTGAAGCAAATCATTCTGGTGAAGAAGAAGAAAACTAAGTTCTATAGACAGCTTTTACCTAAATGACAAAATCAAGAGAAGAAAAGGGCTTTTTACTTCAGAAATCTCGTGGCCAACATTACGAACATGGATGACCTTGGAAGATTCCGCCATTTAGAACCTGCAGACAAAGAAAACCAATTGAAATCAATTTTTTTTCCCGCTTCACAGAATCGAAGAGAGCTTTCCCACAAAGCTCTAAATCAAAACACAAACATGGATCAAGAAAAACCAGAGAGAAGATTGACATTGGAAAACAGAGAGGAAGAAATCGAATCAAACTTGTGTGCAAGCAAAACATTCAAAAAGATCTCCAAATCGATAGGAAGAAGATGAGAAGAGAGAACTTGCCTG